CTGAGTGTCACCTCTCCTGAGAGTGTCATTTGTCCTGAGAGTGTCACTTCTGCCTGAGTGTCACCTGTCCTGAGTGCCACCTCCCCATAGAGTGTCACCTCTGCCTGAGGGGCATGTCTGCCTGGGCACATTGCCTTTTCCTGAGTGTGTCCACCCATGCCCACCACTCAGGGTCTGGCTTGTGTCAGGCTCCCCATGAGCGTGTGTCCGGTGAAGAAGCCCGACCTAAAACCACATGGCACGGACAGGGCCCTGTGCCGAGCTCGTGAGCACAGGCCTTCCTGGGTGCCCCTCCTGCCACGACCCATCTGTGGGTCACATCATGAGAGTGCTGTCTGAGCCGGTGGGGACCCGGGGCCACTCTCTCCACAGAGAGACGGGCCATCTGGGTCCATCACGCCCAGGAGCAGGACTGCCCTCTGGGATGGGGAGGGCCGCTCTGGAGCCACCCCACCCGGCCTGCCTGCCCGCTCTCAGGGCCTGGGGTCAGGGTAGGGGTCTGGGGGGGGTGCCCAGCTGGCATTGGTGAGCCATGACCAGGTAGAATGGGACTGGATCTGCCTCGGGAATAGCCTGGGTGACCACTTTGAGCAGAGACATCCGGGGGAGCAGAGGGGCCCCCCGCGGCCGGCCCCCCACCCTGTACAACTGAGGTCGCTGAGCCCAGCTCACCCGCCAAGTGGGAGATCTTCCCGTCCGGGACACGTGCAGCCTCACGGAGCCCAATCATTGGAATCAGATTCCTGAGCAAGGGACCAGCCGGCTGTGACTGTTCCTCCTGCGTCTGCCCCGAGGACGTGGCAGGCACCCACCTGTTGAAGGCCGTTCAGGAGGCCACCCCCGAGAGCACGGGCCCCTCAGGTGTTCCCGGGCATCGAGGCCTCGTCCCCAGGCACACAGGCAGCCACTCTTTCGGGTGCATCACCTCATCCTGGCTGGTCTGCACCCATCAGAGGCCAGAGGCTCTAAAACGAGAGGAAGGAGGGACTCCAGGGAGGCCTCAGGTGATGTCCTTCGGAGCCTAGAGTCCCCACGCCATAAAAAGTGTTTGTTCAACAGAGACATGGGGTGCCCCGACTGCCATGGCGGCTCACCTCCTTCAGGCTCCTTCTATGGGGCCCGGCCCTCACCTCACCACATACCAGACTTTCTTTCTCCTTCAAATGAAAACAAAAACAAAAACGTCTTGGCAGACGGTTTCCAATTCCGGCTGGTCAGGAGTCCAGCCCGTTGCCCGAGACGAGCAGACATCCCCTTGGCAATGGGCGAGGGTTGGGGGGGGGTTCTCTGGGGGAAACAGTGCTCCCCTCCCCGGGTTACTTATTCATTCAACACTTTGTTCCCACTTACGGATGTGCAGATTCTTAGTTCACCCTGTGGGTTATAAGCCAGCATCACCATTACGTATTTTGTGGCTCACATCGAGGCCCACAAAAACTGGGGTTGAGGGTGGAGCCTCTAGGCCGTGGCCTGCGGCCTTAGAACCTCAAACCTTGGCCGCCTGCGGGTTTTTTGTCTCCCCCCCCCCCCCCCAGGGATCCCAAGACCCATGTGTCTCACCCCGCTCCCCAGTGCCCGGTACTACGACGAGCCCAAGGCCCTCAGCACCTCTAAGCTGGCCTTCCCCGTGGGGACCCCACACCAGAAGCAGCAGCACACCAGACCTTCTGAATGCAAAACTGGGTGGGAGGGCATCCGACAGGGTCAAGTTGGGGGCCGTGGTCTCTCCGCACCGCCCTGCTGTCCTGCTGTGCAGACTCCTCTCCGGGCCCAGACCCGACATGGCTCCCTCCGGGAAGACTTCAGGGCCCCCCCCCCTCCCCTCCGCGGCAGGATCCATTTCTCTAGCTTCGAAGCCCCTGGGGTCACCCTGTTGTCTCAGGGCCACACGTTGTCACACTTGATTTGATCCCAGCCACTCACTCCCACGGGGACGAGGACAGCTGGAGACGGGGGCACAGCCAGGCCGCAGGCCCCACGTGCTGGGCGGACGTCCGTGGTTAGGGGTCTTAGGGAGCTCTGAGCGGGCGGGGCGGGGGGCGGGGGGCGGGGACCGAGACTCTGGAAGCCGCGAACACTCATTCTCACACAGCCCGGCCGTCAGTGTGGTCCCAGCTGCTTCGGGGCCTTCGAGCCGACGGGCTGCCCAACGGTTTCGGCCCCAGGACGTGAGTGGGGTGCTCTCCCCAGGCACCGTGTTTTGGGTTCAGGCTCCAAGCTGTCCCGGCCCGGTGCCATGGCCTCTGCCTGCCACAGGCCCGCGTTTACCTTCGATGGGGGTTCGGCACCTGTAGCGTGACACCTGCTCCGGAGAGCCCCAGCTGCCCCCCAGGCGAGGGGTCTTCTGGGGCAGGCTCAGGGCCCGTGTGGGGCAGAAACTGACTCAGCCCGTTCTGTGCACGTTTCTCCGTGCGCACACGTCACGTTTTGGCATCAGAAAGCTAACCTCACACCGAAACTTGGGTGAGGCAAGCTCTCCCCAACCCCCCATGCGCACATCTGTGTGTAGCTTGCTCTTGTACACCGACGCAGAGCTCAGAGGGTTTGTGCGGTGCGAGACGTTGATCGCTGACCATGCTTTGTGGACGGGAGGCAGGGGCCGAGCCACCTGCCCGGCTCGTGCCCTGGGTAAGTGGGAGGAAAGCCAGCAGCCCCGCTCCCGGGCTCATTCTCGAATTGCGTGGGCTCTGACAGGGGTGGCGAGACTCTCCCAGATGGGGTGCAGCCAGGACTGCCTGGGAGTGACGGGACAGTGCTCTCTGCTCCCCGGGGCTCCGTCTGTCTGCTGTCCACAGGGGTCAGAAAACTCTGGCCGGTTCTGTCTGTTCCACGCACTGCTAGCCGGTGACTGGAGCCTCTGCCCATGTCCCCTGCAGGGTTTCAAAGACAACCTCCACGCTGTGTTCTGCTTGGCCGAGAACTCAGTGGGTCCCAACGCGACGAGGCCAGATGACATCCACCTGCTGTACTCAGGAAAGTAAGGCTCGTTCCTTCACCCCCTGGCTGCCCTCTGGGCATGTGGGCCCTGCTGGACCTCGTGGGGGGCGGGGAGGGGCTCTCTTGCTGGACCTCGTGGTGGCGGGGGCGGGGGGGGGCTCTCCTTGCCAGGGCCAGGCTGGTCAGCCCTGACCCACGGCCGTCCTGGAGGCAGATTTCACCCTGCTTCTCCAGCCAGAGGCGCATCCTGTGGGGGAGGACGCCCTGTCACAGGAGCCCCTGGCCAGCAGGCTGCTTGCTCCCAGGGCTCCGGGGGCAGGTGGCGGGTCACATCACTAGATGACGTGTTGGGCTCCCTCAGGGTGCCTGGCTCAGGATCCACCCTGCCTTAGGGGGATGCGCCCTTCCCAACCTTTAGGCTTAAAGTTCTTTGTGTGCCTGAAGCCCTGTCCCCACCCCACCCCCCACTCCACCTCCAGACCTCCTACTGGAGGGCTCTCCCTGCACTTCCCCCTTGGGATCGGCCCTTGAACTGCTTCCCAGCTGCAAAGGACACACTGGGAAGTCAGTGGGCAGCAGCTGAAGGAGCAGGTGGTCTAGATGCGCAATAGGAGAGTCCACTCACCGCCCCGTACATGGGCGCCTGTCTGCAGGGTGACCCCCGGAGGGGCTCCCCCTTTTGTGTTTACCTAGTGCCAGGCCGTGTGGGCCCAGGGCTGGCCCAGTGCACGTCAGGCTACCCGCACAACCCTGTTCTCCCATCTCACAGACGAAGAAACCAAGGCACAGGGGGCTGCGTGGGGTTCCCTGGCTCACAGCTGGAGAGCAGTGGGGTGGGACTGACCCTGGCGTTACATCGCTGTAGGGGTGGGAGCGGCCCTGCCTTCCGGGGAGGGAAGCGGGCTCTAATGGGGTCCCCCCAGTTCCAAAGGGACTCTGTCCCAGTGCCCCAGGGAGCACCGTCCCTGAGCAGGGGTCTCTGCGGCATCCCAGGACTGTGGAAATCAACAACACTGACGCTGAGGGCAGGCTGGTCCTGGCGGATGGGGTGTCCTACGCCTGCAAGGACCTGGGTGCGGACATCATCCTGGACATAGCCACGCTGACCGGAGCGCAGGTGGGCCACCTCGAGTCCTGGTGCTGTCCCCCCCCCCCCGCCCCGCCCCGTCCTCACAGCCCAGGGGGAGGTTGGGAGCTCGTCCCTGGCACCCAGTGGGAGGCAGGTGGCAGGGCCCATGGGCTGGGTCCTGGCGTCAGGACAGCTTAGGAACTGTCCTCCCTGGTGGCTCACGTGGCTCCCGGTTCTTTCTTTCTTTGCTCCTCGCTGCCCCTCTTGGCTTCTGTGTGCGCCCTGGGGCCCCTGCTCTCCCGCGCGGCCGCTCCCCTGCGCTCCGCCCCTCCCTCTGCCCTGGCCACCCTCCCAGGGCATTGCCACGGGCAAGTACCACGCTGCGGTGCTCACCAACAGCGCGGAGTGGGAGGCGGCCTGCGTGAAGGCTGGGACGAGGTGCGGAGACCTGGTGCACCCGCTGGTCTACTGCCCCGAGCTGCACTTCAGCGAGTTCACCTCGGCCGTAGCTGACATGAAGAACTCCGTGGCGGTAGGTTTGCGGTCCTCCCCCCGCCCCCCCCCCCCCCGCCCGGCCAGGTGGGGTGGGCCAGACCGAGTCCCAGGTGACCCCAAGACCTAGCAGCAGTGTGGACAAGGGCCCCCCAGGTGGGCCCCAGATCCGTGCTCAGGGTGGAAGCATCTGGAACGCGGATGCACCTCTCCCTGGTCCCCCTGCCTCGGGTCCATGCCAGAAGTTTCCTCCCCACTCTGGGGTCTGCCTCCTCCATCAGCTCTTTTGCTGGCTCCGCAGCTCCCTGGGGTGAAGGCAGAACCCTTAATCCGCACACGTGCAAAGCCCTTGGGGTCCCTCTCTGCAATCCCCCACGCTGGGCACCCCTGCACCCCAAGCCCCCTCTTGCAGACACCGGGGGAGGCAGTGGCTGAGGGAGATGTGGTCCAGGGGGCATGGTGGTGGGGGGGGCATCCTCAGCGGGTCCAAGTGAACCCTGAACTCGCTTTGGTGGAGCCCCTCCCCCACACCCCCGCTGCTGGCAGCAGAAAGGTCACCATTTATCCTTCTGTCCCCCTAGGACCGGGACAACAGCCCCAGCTCCTGTGCTGGCCTTTTCATCGCCTCACACATTGGCTTTGACTGGCCTGGGGTTTGGGTCCACCTGGACATCGCTGCGCCCGTGCACGCCGTGAGTCCAGGCCCCCCCCGGGGTGTCCTCTCCCCGCCTGCCCCCCACACCCCCACCCCTGCACGTACCGCACGCCGGCCTGGCCACTCCCACCCTCTCGTGCACCCAGAACCCCTCTCTGTCTCCGGGCTGAGCTCATCAGCAGCATTTCTGTGTGGAGGGTCACACTGCCTGTGGCCCGACCTCGGCCAGCCGTGCCCCTGGTCTCCGGTCTCCTCATCCCCGGAAATAGAGTGGCTGCTGTGCACGGCCCTTCTCCTCGGCTGGAGACCCCGGACCTTCGGCTCACCCTTTATCCCACCCAAGAAGACCCCGGGGGTCGGGGCCAGAGGGCAAAGAGCCATCCCACCGCCTGACTCGGCTCTGAGTGTGGCAGGATGGCAGGAGGGGGGCCACGGGCCGAGCGGGGGGTGGGATGGCTCGTCCTCGCCCTGGCCCGGGAACCCCTTCCTGCACGGGTGGGCTTGCCGAGGGGGTCTGGCTCAGCCTGGCGGAGGGCTTCCAGCCTGCCCTTTGCCCACAGGGGGAGCGTGCCACGGGCTTCGGCGTGGCTCTCCTGCTGGCACTCTTCGGCCGGGCCTCTGAGGACCCTCTGCTGAACCTGGTGTCCCCACTTGGCTGTGAAGCGGATGCCCCGGAGGCCGACGCGGAGAGGGACTCCAAGAGGCGCAGGCTCGTGTGAGGCCGGCCGCTCCCCGGCCCCCTTGTGACACAAGGCTCTTTACCTCACTTTGCACTGATTAATTTTAAGCAATTGGAAGATTATACCTTAAGATAGGCTTTGGTTTGTTTTTATCTTTAGTTGTCACAGTGATAGAAACAGCTCCTTCGTTAAGACAGCTCAGGGTCTGGGGGATGGCCCGGGGTGGGGGGGGCGCTGGGGCTTGCGGCTGTTTGAGTTACCCACCAGGCCTCCTGCCGGCTTCTTCACACTCTCCTCCCTGCAGGGGCCTCCGCACGCACGCACGACCTTGAGGCTCCGGGACGCACAGATGACCCTGCCGCCTTGGCCAGGTGGCCTTTGGGCCTTCTGTCCCTGCTCAGTGCCCGCAGGGGGTGCCCGTGGCCTTATCCTGGACAGGCCCCCAGCCCCCTCGCATGGCATCCACGTCATGGAGAGCCCAGGCCGTGCTCCAGCCAGGGCAGCTGCTGCCTCCAGGCAGCCCACCCCTTTGAAAGGATGGAAGTAACTTGTTTCAGGGACCCAATTTTACGGAAGCAAGCGAGTCTCTGGGCCCTTAGGAGTCCCTGGAGGGTGAAGTAAATATGGCCGCATCACATTACACCTGTGTCTCTGCCTCGTCTTTCTCTCACCCTGGTTGGGAAGCCCACCCTGAGGCCTGCCCGTGGCTCTGAGGCTCCCGGCCCTCCCACCTTCTCAAAAACCGGTATCCAGCATCGAGATGCAATGTGGCAACCTCCCTCTGGCCGACGAGAGCCCCGGGGTGTGGGAAGAGGACGGGGGGTGGGGCCGGAGTCCTGGGTCGGTGCCCGCACAGCCCAGGCTGGTTGGTTTTCTGAGGTTTCACGGTGTGGACTCCCAACGGGAGGCCCCTGGGGCTTTCTGGGACTCTCCCGTGGTCCTGTGGCTGCAGGGAGGGCTGTGCTCGCCCTGCGTACATCACGAGGCGAGTACCATACTGAGTCGATCATAGGTGCTGAAGGACAGGCTGTCGGGAGACTCCCTCCCCCCACCAGCACCCTGTGTGGCAGGTGAGGCAGGACCTTTGTCCCCTCTTATGCTCTACCCCGGTGGGCTGCCTGAGCCCAGAGGAAGGCATCGGGGACTCTGGCACCACCTGGCATGGAGGAAGGGGCCACATTTCCTCGGGTGGGGACCGAGGGGGAGAATGTGGCTGTGGGACACAAGTCACCAGGCTGTGCCCCGGCCCCCTGACCACCTCATCCCTGCCCAAGGGTCCCTAGGCTCCCAAGTCCCTTCCCCAGCTCTGGATATCAAGGTGACTCTCTCTGGGCGTAATCCCAAGCTAATATTTATTAACTGCCTGCTGTGTGCACAGTCCCAGCCGGGCCCGGAAAAGGCCGGGAGCAGCTCTGAGGCCCCAGCCCTGTCTGGGAAAGCCCTCACCCGACACGTGAACTCACAAATAGCAGTCACAAGGTGGTAGGTGGGCTCCGGGAGGGGAGGGGAGGCGTGGTGGGTGGCCAGAGGGGCCTGGAGCCTTCACGGTTCATTAGCCTGCTTAATGGCCTCGCAATAGGGCAGCTCTCTCCAGCTTCCCTGAGATGCCCTGGAGGAGGCAGGGGTCACCGAGGTGGCCTCGCTCCTTCTCCGGGCAGCTGGCACTGTCCACTCCCCCCACCAGGGGGCTGCAGGATGCAGGGTCAAGGAGCAGGGGACGAACTGAGTCTCCCTTGTGCAAGCACAAAGGCAGCCTCAGGGCCAGGGACCCAGCTGGGGACCGGCTGCATGCCCGGCGTCAGGGGGACCGTGGGGGTGAGCCGACGGCTTCGCTTTCCCAAGAGCCAAAGGGGCTTAGGACACGACGGCCGCTTCCCCTGGCCGCACCAGAGCCTCAGCAGCAGGGTCGGGGGGTGGCCAGTGGCGGGGGGCAGGCGGGCCCTGACGGAGCCCCCCGATCGCGGTCTCCGGCAAACGGCTCAAGAAGACGGAGCCTGGCAAAGGCCTGCTGTCCCAGCGTCCAGCTGACCCAGCACACGGACCAGAAGATGGGGGTGCAGAGTCTGGGCGCCCCGGCCACACCAAGCGGCTCGAAGCACCTGCGTGCCCGAGAGGTGCTCCGTCACCGCCCACCCTGAGAGCCTGCCAAATGGGGGGGAGGCCTGCAGGTGTCAGCACCCCCCGTCCCAAGAGAGGAGGCCGCAGCCCTGCTCCGTGGGGTGGGGCAGAGGAGCAAGTGCTGGCCCTCGTAGGCCGGGAGGCATCCTGCGGGTGGGCCTGGGAGGGGCTGCCTGGCCTGGAGCAGAGCACAGGTCACCTAGCAGGCAGGAATGAAGGAGGGGAGGCAGGAAATGTCTCTTTTGGTGGAGAGAATTCCCAGCTTCCTGCTGGGAACCAGCCAGCTTCTCCGGGGCTTGGCAAACGGGTGGGGGGACAGCAAGACCCCACTCTGCTCTGTATCAGAGGACCTGGCCCCAGATTCGGTCGTGAGTGCCTTGTGTAACGATAAAGCACAGGGCACACAGGGCTCTTGCCCCCCACCTCCCAGGGCGGTTCTGGGGAACAGGGCGAGCAGGGGCCCGAGAGTGCTGAAAAACCCAGGGCTCGGGCAGGCTCTCAGGCCTGGGGGAGGCTGATGGGGCCCCCCCCCCAGGAAGCCTCGGCGACAGAGGATTTCTCAGCCCCGCTGCCTCTGCACTGGGCTCCCGGAAGCGGGGCTGCAGCCGGGAGGAACCGCAGGCTGACAGCGCGTCCTTGGGCACGCACAGACCGTGGGCCCGGGGCCGGGAGGGCCCCCCCCACCCCCTTGGCCCAGGTTGGAGGCGGCTGGTGCAGCAACCGCCCCTCCTGTCCAGCCTGGGTCACGAGAACCTGCCTGACCCCCAGACACCCACACGCGTTTGCATCTGTCACTTCCCATGTCCGTGCCACCAAAAATAGGGGGAGCGGACCTGATTCAGAGAAGCGGTTGAAACAGAATGATATCATTGCCATTCAGGGAATGCTGACCGTTCAGTCATTCCAGAAAATCCCACCCCACCTCACTGCCCCACTTTAATTACCCACCCTCTGGCCGGGGCTGGCAGTGCTCCCAGGAGACCTTCCGTGCTCCCCCCACAGGCAGTGCAGCCTCCCCTCGGGCACAGCATGGCCGGATGCCCCAGTGCAACCCGTCTTCGTGCTCTGTGCGGGGACTCCCTCCCCAGACCCCCTTCCTGTGGCACCTCCCGAGGGCCCTGTGTTTGCAGTCGGCCTGGAAGGGTCAACCTTGTCCCCTGGGGCACACTGGCAAGCCCCCTAAAACTCTCGGGCAGCCCCTGACGAGCACATCTGTGGCCCCAGCAGCCCCCTCCCCCGGTACATGTTTATGGAGTTTGAATTTGCTACGTGATTCCCTGCCCAGGGCCCCTGTTCAGGCTGTGTTCCCTGGTGAACCGATGTTCCGCATTTTTGTTTATTTGTTTGTTCTTTAACAAAAGGTTGTTTTGGTTTGAAATTCAGCAAAAACACACGCTGTATTCGGCTTCCTCTCCATTCAGAATTCAGTAAATTAGTTGTTTTCCAGTCTGCTTCGAGTCCTTGCCTCAAATGAGCCTCCAACAAGATAATGCATTTAAAAGCCCTTGGAAAAGTACCAGGCCCCACGCACATGTGACACATTGTCATCATGCGAGCAGTTCGCTCAGCCCTGCGCCCCGCACCCCCCAGAGCTCAGCTCTGGAGAACTCTGGCCAGGCAGCGGTCCCTGCACCCACCCCGTGGATAGGGCTCTGGAGGGGACGCCCCCGGGGACTGGGCCTGCTCTCCCTCCTGACGGCCCCTGGTTCTCTCTTCCCATCTGGGGGGCAGGGGGACAGGGGGACAGGGACGTGAGGACAGGGGCATCCGGGAAGCCAGTGCTCCCTCAAGACGTGGAACAGGTCCTTACGGACTTCCCACTGGGGGGCTGCTTTTGCTTCAGTTCCCACTGGGGTCCTGAGAGCTTTGGGGACGAGTCCAGGGAGGGAGCATTCTTCAGTCAGGAAAACAAAATGAAAAGCAAAACCCCCAGGTTGGAAAGCTCTGAGGCCTGATTTACATTCACCATGAGCACAGTGAGAACACTCACTGTGGGGGAGCCTCCGCCGCCTCGCCCTGCCCCCACCGGGCTGGGGGTGTAGGAGGCCTCCGCTCAAGTCACAACTACAGGCCTCTTCTTAATGCGACTCTCTCCCTTTCTTCCAGCGGGGTTTCAGTGGATTTCCGCGGATTTTCTTCCAGTGGATTTCCGCGGCGTCCCCCAGCGTGCTTGGTCCAGGGTGGCGACGGACAGCTTCCTCATCCAGGGGTATCTATGCAGTGCCACCTGTATACAGCCCCTGAAAAGCTCACCCCTCTTGTGGGAACCCTGCTCCGGGCCACGGTGGTTCCCAGCGGCCTCAAAGGCGGAGCCGGCCCTGAGGGAGGCTGGACGCAGACCACGCCCCCGGCACCCAGGGGGTTGGGGCTGAGTGAGGCAGGGTGCTGGAAGGATCCCGCAGGCCCACCTCAAATGCTCACTTTCTTGTACCAACCAGGGGGGCATTCCTAGCAACCCCTGGAAGAGTTTCGTAAGCAGTGTGCCCAGCACACGGCGGGTTATCCTACGTCCACCCAGGGTGTGGGGTGTGGAAGCTAGTACCTGCTGGGAGGGGCTGGGGACCCTCCACCCAGGCGGCCCCTGCCCTGCACCTGATCGCTGCCTGCGGCCACACCTGTGGATCCTTAGCGGCAGGCGAGAGGGCAGCTGGGGGCAGGCTCCCAGCTGCCGGAAGGAAGGCGGGTGGGCCGAGCTCAGCACGGGGAGGGGGCGGGCGCCCGAGGACGCACGGTGCCCACACGGGGCGGTGGGAGCCCGGCTCGCCACCACCCCACGCTTGTCACCAGTTGCCCTGGAAAGCGTGCTGCGGAGGTTCTGAGGGCAGGCAGGCCCCAGAGAGCTTTTGTTTGGGGGTTTTCGGCTTTGGTTTGGTTTGGTTTTTTTGTTTTGGAGCTTTTCAGGGACCAGTTAAACTCGGTTCACGTGTAATGGGCCTCAGGTCAGAAGGGCCTGGTGAACACAGTCCTGGCAGCCTCCTGGGCCCCCGAGGAAGGGCCATTTCCTCCTGTGGATGCAAGACAGCGCAGTCCCATTTCCTCCCCAGCTCTGGTAAGAAAACTCACTATAAATAAACAGCCCACAGGCGGCAGTTGAATAGAGGGGACTATCCAGCAAGGGAGAGGGCCTGGGGAGAGGGCCAGCTGGGAAAACCTTTCTCAGGGAAAGGAGATCTGAACTGAGATTGTAAGGATGAATGAGTTTTAAATGATGCGGAACATGGAAGGATAATATGAGGCAGAGGGAGCTGCGTGCGTGCAAAGGCCCTGGGGTGGGAGCGGCCGTGGCAAGCTAGAGGCACAGAACCGAAGCCAGGTGGCTGGAAAGGAGAAACGGGTGCAGGGAGAGGCCGGGGTGGGTGGTGAGGTGGGGGTGATGAGCAGAGCTGGGGCGCACACCATCTTGCAGGACACTGGCGGGAGTGGTTTTTATTCCAAGAGCCATGGGAGCCATTGAGGAGTTTGGAGCTGACAAGGGACAGGTTGAATCCATACCTTTCAGAGACCCTCTGTCTGGAGCTCAGC